GTTATCCCAGAGGTTTGCTGTGCATTTCGCCCAACACTAAAGTTAAAACAATAATCCTTAAAAGCTCTGCCTTCCTGCGTCCCTTGTATTTAACGAGTTGACTCTGCAGCTCCTAATTATACATTCTGTTTCCTTGATTTAAGTGCAAATACGATTTTTAACATGTCAGAATATGTAGCTCAAATTATTATTATTTAATACCAAGTTTAGGAATGTCGAAGAGCTCAATTTGATCATAATAAATCATGGCTTTTTAAAATCGTCCATGAAGCCGCCTAACTTTTATTTGGGGGGGGGGGGGGGGGGAGGAAAGTTGAAGATTGTTTGACACAGAAGTTGAATAAATGTGCAGCAGTCTTTAGGGAAATAGCTACTTACATTCTGGGTATTTAATGTCACTGTTCTTTTTAATTATATTAAGATGGAATAAAGTAATTAACATTAATAAATAAATCAATAGTGTGCAATAAACGAGATATACAATCTACATTAATATAAAAGGTTTGCTTTCACAGCCCCATTTTTTTTCAATGGGAGACCACCAAGAGGGCCCATCTACACTAGATTACTATTTGTAATAAAATATAAGTTGACATTTTGCTTTTCAGTCTTAATAAATATTAGTAATAGGAATTCTAGGTTAAAAGACGTTGCTGTGAAGTTTCATTTTAATTCCCCTCCCCCCATGTTATTTCAGGTTATTTCATTTTTACCCCGACCGTTCTAATGATTCTTCTATGCAATTTCCTAATTTCCTCTGCTGATATCGGATTATTGACGTAGGATGGGAGAGCGGTTACCAAAAAGGAGAGCTATTTTGCAGCTGTATTAATCCGCGCGAAATATATTGCGAGAAATAGCTAACTTTAAAATAGCCAGAAGCCCAGGATAACGCTTTCTATTTGAGAGGAAGACTCTAAAAATGCAAACTATTTTATATCACGCCATTCTGTCGCTGTTCGATTGAAGAATATTTTTATTTAGCGATATATTTGTCTACAGACTTGTGACCTCTCTTTTTTTTAATAATGGCAACATTGTTATGTGTCATGTTTTCCTACGGAAGATTCAACTTCTTGCTTGGGCTGTCGAAATTAAAAAAAATACACCGATGCGCCTATGTATTTCAGCAGTATTGTGGCCGATAAAACAATTGTGATTCCCTGCCATCGTGATAGCTATGTAATGGGTGATCACATATAGGTGCATTGCTTATATTAGCCTGATAGTCCCACACTGTTTAAGCTGTCTCCTATTGTGCATACATATGTATTTGTACACGTAAGTATAAAACTCAGTGTGCGATCTGGAAGTTATCAGATTTTAGCGTGTGGACAGATTTTAGCGTGTATGCCTTAATCTCGTTTAATTTAAATACATTTTTATCTCTATATAAATTCCTGACAATTTGTTCTTTAACCAGAAAAAATCTTTTAATTCTTCTGACAGGACCGACTAAAATAAATTGGGAAAAATTAACCCAGTATAATCTCCGTTACACATCCACAGAACCATCATATTTACATGATGATTCAGAAAAGAACAAAGCAACATTTTAATCTTCATCTAATTATTTAATTAACAGCATATATGTTTCAATCACAAGTTTACATTCTTTGAGAATGGCCTTCCTCTAAAAGTGAGGGGCTAAAACATATAGAAGCCAAGAGGTGTAGTGAAGAGGCAAGATCCCAGAAGAAATACGTTCATTTTAAAACGAACCAACCAACAAACAAATAGACTTTTCTGTATTTATTCCTTCTCGAACTAACTACATTAATGGGGGGGAGGGAGGGTTAGCTATGTATTCCGGATTCTGTTGATAAGAGTTACCTTTCTCTTCAAAGATTCCAGTGGTCTTAGATGGGACAATATCCTTTTATTACAGACGGCAAAGCGTAACAATGAACTTCTAAAAAACCTAGCAGACAAACTGTCAACTAATTATTTCACCGGGATGGGGCTTGTTAAATGCAGAATATCGCTGAACAAACAGATCATGCATTAGCTAGTTTTAGATGAATTTTGCAAATAAACAGATTAAAAACTGATCTTTGGTGTTATTATTTACAAGTGCGCATTGGAAATAGAAACACGCCAGTTCACTGGAAGAATTCCAGGAAATGTATCTTGTTATCTTTCATTTCAGAACCTTTTAGTTACATTTTAATAGGTCTCTACAGTATTTATAAGGAGAGAGATTTTATTTAGCAATCCCTTGGGAAGGTGATGTTCCGATATTCAAAATACGTACTCCCGTTTTGTAATTTGTACTAAAGAGGCACAACCAGAATCAAAAGACCGTCTTTTGTTTAAATCACACGCCCCCATAAAACTATGTTATAGCTGTGTTTACACTTCTTTAAAAACAGGTTTGCAATAATACCTTAAAGATAAGCTTTGAACTGGAAATACAGATTTTAATATAACTTTTGTTCTTTGGGAGTTAAGATTGCACTAAAAAGAGTAAATAATTGATTTTCGATCTACTGAACGGATTCTGCATCCTATTATATTTCTCTTGAAATTATAGATTTTTTTAAAACCGCGAATGTATTATAAAAGATTACGACCCCCCCAAAATTATTTTCAACTGGCATATTCTTCGAGCATGTCACCGTTATGGGTTATTTGTTTAATACATCTTTGTGATACTTTATTTTCTCATTTCGAAAGCCCTGAAATCTTATCGTTACTTATATATTAGATATTTTATTAGTAATACAATTACTATTAGAAGGAAACTAGACTTGATCACCAGGACAGTTGTAAGCATTCCAGAACGTGAGCGCGCCCTCCTGTGGAATTCAGCGGCAAAGCACAAGGAAATTTATTTCCCTTCTTTGGCTTTTCGTTCAACCTTGGATGCATTTAGGTGTATTGGACAAAGGGGTTTATCTCGTTTTTAAACATACATTCAAAAATAATATAGCTGCAAAATTCTATAGTGATTATACCGGTATATTTGGTATCTGGTAATCAGCTTTGTGGGGACTTAACATATTAAAGGACATGTGCCCTTGGATAATTTATTAAATACACAGTGGGGATCTGGAAATCAAATAACTAATTTTTGCACTATGGCTTTAGACCCGGAAGAGATGTGGGATTTTTGTGATAATGTTAAAAGATTTATTTAATAGTTTCCTATAACTACAAGTTTCCCCATCCGATAGGATGTTTCCTGTTAAAATGAGTTTGGAGATGAATTCTCTGGAAATATTGTTTTCCTCCAAAATGCGTAATTTTTTTTTTACATTCCACTGTTCTACAGGAATTTAGCTCGGAGCGATTATACAAAGGATGGCGTTTTCTATGTTTCCTGGACACGACGTAAGTATTAAGAAAAGTATAAGATATTTTGACATACACAACGGACTAGATTAGGGAACTGTTCGAACATAGCCTAATGGGGAAGTATTCAGAATGACAGCTGGAATGTTCTTTGCGTTATGATGCATTTGCTAATAAGGCTGGCTCTGCAGTAGTTAGTGTGTGTGTGGGTGCGTGTGCGTGTGTGGGAGAGATGGAGATGGAGAGAGAGAGAGAGAAAGAGAGAAAGAGAGAGAGAGTGGGTGGTGGTTGAAAATAACAGAGGAACCTTAAGGCGCCTAATTATTCAGAAAGGTTAAAGGTGATGACCTTGACATTTTGGAAGTTCAAAGGCATACACTTATGTTTTTCTTGCTAAAGAGTTTCAAAAATTATTTTTTAAGCTATGCCTTTTCACGATTTTATCAGATAATTATTAGTTTTTTGTCTTTTCCTGAATTATTTCCCTACTTTTGCATTTATTGGATGCAAGTGTAATGAGAGCCACTTAGGTCTATTCAAAAAAGCCAAATTCTTTTCTCACTCCTTTCCTTTATTGCACTTTGCGGAAATCTCTTTTTCACCCACCAGAAGGTGTATAATATAACCCAATTAAGCTGTTTAGACCCTCGGTTTTTATGGTGTTGTCTAGACAGTTCAAGGTTTTGTAAACAGCTCAGTCAGGTCATACTGCATGATGTGAAGAGGGGAGCTTCTCCAAATTGTTTTACTTTCAAAATAAAGACAAGGGTCAGTTATGTTACACTAACGTGGGGGGAACTGACTACATTCCTGTGATCAAATACAGGAAACTCAGAACGAATTGGTTAAAAATGGGGAACATATTTACGCCTTTTTCGCTAAACTTTGTATTTTAAATGGTTGCAATTGTTTACAGCTGCCTGTTGTCTGAAATGTTCCCGGTGCTCAATCTGACAACCCTTCCGAAGCTAGTAAACGTTCTGAGCTTTGAATTCTTGTCCCAAACATTAGAAGCCTGAATAAGCTTTTTCCATAGTTTTTTTTAATTGTGGCACCATCAAAAGTGGTGATCTTCAAACAGCCATCTTTGGGCTGCCTTAAACTGAGGGGGAATAACAAGTGAAGGTTTCATATATAATCAGTTAGAGTTTTAAACTAATATTCATTTAAATTCCGTTTAACATAATTTGACTTAACTTTCTCCCTCGTTACTTCGCTGATTTTGGCTCTAGTCCGGTACACACGCTGATTCTTCAGAGATGGCAATCCATAAGTGAGCAGAAGATATGACCTTAACTTTACTACAAACCATTTATTCATATGAAAAAGACAGTGGCCCATGCGTATGTATCACACACACACACACACACACACATACACAAGCACACACACAATGTACATTTACCATCTTTTAAATTAACTGCATTCATTTAAGGGAGAAAGGGATTATCCTAGCGCAAAGCCAACAGGGGGGAAAAAACTCAAGCAAAATCTACCATACACACCGCCGGTCCATTGGTGCCATCATGAGAGAGAAAAAAAACCACCTTGGGCGACAAACACAGGAGAATGGAGGTTTGGGTTTCCCCTTATGAGGAGCGTGCTTCGCCAAGCCCCGAGATGTCCAGTGGACATTGATTGTTTGGAGGCACCAGAGTTGAACAAGAAAATGAAACTTTGCGTTCCGCTGGGTGAATGTGTCCTGTAAACCAAACTCCTGGCGTACTCATATGGCAGGTCAGAGCGAGTTTTTTTTCTTCTCTTTTTTCCCCTCAAAACAAGGGGTTTCCAGTGAAATATTGGAGTCGATCTCTGTTCAGTTTCTTTTCTTTCATCCTTCGATTCTGGAACCAGATTTTAACTTGCCGGTCGGTGAGGTTTAGCATTCTGGACAACTGCAGTCTTTTTTCTTTGTTTATGTATACGTTGAAGAAAAATTCACGTTCCAATTCTCTTATCTGATATTTGGTGTAGGGGCATCTCTTTTTCCTTGATCGCTGGGGGACTGCTGAAATTCAAGACAGAATAAACTGATGATGCTGTTCCAATAAACACTTTCCGCTCACGAGAGATAAGATAGTTTCACAACATCTCATTTACTAGAAAGCAGCATCCTGCCAGTTAAGAAAATATTCAGAGAGATTTCACTCTCCCACCCACCTCGTCTCCCATCGGGGTAACTTTGCAAAGGGTGGACATTTCCAACTTCCCCTTATAAGAGACCCAACGTAGCAATACAGAGAGATGTTTAAATTGGTTGGAAATAGTCCAAGGTTCTCAAACTGCTCCCCCAAACAAAGGAAATATCAGGGTCCATAATATGGGTGTTGTGAACAATAGCTGTGAAATCTCTCCGCCCCCCCAAAATCAACAATTTAATCACAATCAATATCCTCCTTCAAGAATACCTTAAGCCCACGTAAATTGGTTTCCTATCGTAAACACGCTTTACAACGGTGAAGGAAATCTTATAGGATATATAAAATCCTTTGGATGCTTATAAAATTGCACATAAAATGCGGCTTGACAAAGTGTTGGCCTTGTACTGTTGCCCCCAATTTACTACTGATACCTACCTGAACTGTTGCTCTTCTCTGCAACAGCCTCACCAGAAGGGGAACCGGCGCTGTTTTCTGTTGTCACTTTCTTCTCGTGGCTGGAAGGTGTTTTGCTACAAGTGCTAGTCGGAGGTTTCAAGTCGCTCTTGGCCGCTTCCCCCTCGGTCTCGGCTGGCTGCTGGTACGGGGGTCCCTGGGCTGTCTCGTAAAACTGGTCAAAGCCCTGCGGGAGAATGCCGTTCCTCCCCACCGGGCTGTAGAAGTTGGAGGCAGCCCCGGCGGGTCCATGGTGACCGCACACGGGGTCCGTTTTGAATAACATTTCCGTCCGCCTGTTCGCGGGCTGCAGAAAGTCTCGGTGCATAACCTCCTCCGCGGGGTAATAAGGAGCATAGCTGCTCCGGTACTGCCATTTGCTGCGCTCTAATCCGTATTCCCTGAATGCCACTTCGCGCACAGGTTGGACATGAGGTAAATTGGAGGAATAGGGGAAAGTCATTTGACAGGAAGACGACTGCGACAAAAAAGAGGGCTTCGTCGAGAAGTCGGAAGGGGAGACGTAATAAGCGCACCCGGGGAGATACATGTTGGATGCGCCGTGGCTGCAATCTTCAAACTCGGTCATGTCTTCCCTTGTGCGATTGCAAGCAACCAGGAGACTTCAGTGCATTGAACGAGATCCATCTATTGCACAAGAGGCTTTGGACAGGATCAACTAAGCAAAAATCCCCACCGTGTGCTGACGTGCAATTCATCTTGATTGATTCTCGTGGTAATTATGTCACGTGACGCAATGTAGAAATGTCCTTATATCTATATGAGCCCCTCGGACAGGCTGCGAGGAGCTCGCCAAGGAGCCTCCCCGGCACCGAGAGGCGAGCCAGGCATTTGGACAAATGTTACATTTTTTGCCTCCTTCCCGCCGCCGCCCGCTGAGGCGAGTCGAGAGCCAGGCGAGGCACCTGGGGAGGCACCGGCTGGTAGCGACTCCCACACGCGGCTCCAAACGCAGCCCCTGCCACCGCCAGAGCCAAGCGCGCGCACACACCGCCCCTGCCAGCCCCGCTGCCTAGGCATGTCTCTGCACACCCGGAGAGACGTAGGCACGGGCAGCCCCCCTGGGAAAGGGCACCCCGAGCCGTCCGGTGCCAGACCTCGGCACTGCAATTCACTGCTGGCAACACTGGTCAGTCGCACTGGTCAGCAGCGGAGGAGAATACATTTAGCATAGCAAAGACCCTGTTTTACATATTCTAACCTCTGGGCGGATTGGCTGTAGAAATCCACAGTTGGCATCAAAATCCGTTACAACATTCAAACTATGAGACTCCAGGAACCTTATTTCCCCCTTCCCTAAGTGCGGGAGAGACTGACAAGAGAAATATACGAGGAGCCCGTTGTGTTAAAGGGAGGCTCTTGCGGAGTTAATCTACAATGAGCGATTATGATGCAACATCACATCTTTGGAGGAATAGAAACCCAACCGCCACGATTTCCTTGGAAAGCTGACTATCAGATAAAGTGAACCTCTTCGGACACCCCCAACTTCAGACAATGGTCCTTTGAAAGGGGGAAAGGAAGTTGTGGTAGTTAAGGCAGAGCTAAATGTTAAGCGTTAGCCCAGACTATGTTAAAATGTTATGATACGTAACGTGAGCACATCAATGGGCCACGTAGTGTGGAAGCAAAATGAATTGATTCATTAATAGGCTTCAGAAATCGCTGCAGCGAGAGAACGGTTCATTCTCAGAGCATTTACCAAATCTCTATAGGAATCTTTAATTCCTCCACAGTACAAAATGTCTAGTTTAGCCACAGGGCATGTTGGTCTCCAAATAAAAACGCTCACACACTCGCCTTTATAATACCTAGGCTCGCTTTTGTAAAAACCCCTTGAAAGCCACGCTTTTGCAGGACATTATATGCAAACGCACAGGCCACAGATGAGTAAAAATCTGGCAAAACCCTTACAGGTGTGGGAAAGAAAGAAAGAAAGAAAGAAAGAAAGAAAGAAAGAAAGAAAGAAAGAAAGAAAGAAAGCCCAAATCCTCACATTGTTATCACGGCTGAACCCAAAAAGGTCTCGGTCTAACCCGATGGGGTATAAAATATCTGCAGTGCGTGATAGCAGAGGCATCCGCAATGACACACACCTATACTGCGCACTTCGCCTTTAGCTGGAGCAAGAGGCAGGTAGAATTTTTTTGTTCCGATTTCCCCCTCCCCAAATCTTCAGGCGTGTCCATACCATACAAGGGTTGTCAAGGTAGCTCTCAAAAGTGCCTAATTTCCCCCATTTTCCAAAGGGACTATGTCCACAGCCATTCAGACAACTTGAAGTTCATTCTGTTTGTTCCTAGTGCCTCGCTTGTGTACCACCATGAATGCGACAATCTGGTTTATCCCCTCAGACAGGCTCACTAAAGAGCCCCCCAGATACACCGCACGACACACAGACGCACCATTCCCTTGCTTGCGGGTGACTTCGAAGCCTTTTCGATTTTGCTGCAACAAATGGACTAGCTCCTAAAAATCAGGACTGCGAAGTTAAAATGGCTTCTGCTTCGCTTCCCACCCTGAGTTCCCAGCAGAACCTGGCAACGATTCGTTTGGACCATGTTCCAGGATTTCTCAAGACTAATTTAGCAAATTGATGTGGAGCTATGAATCTAGGGAACGTCATTTTCTTTAGCACCCGAAACAACTAATTAAGCTCCAGTCGGAATCGTAGCCCTTCCTTTGGCTGCAGACCCCCTAGAATCCACTAAATATTGGGGTGGGAGCCAACCAATTTCAAGCAATTCAAGTTCAACGACATGGCGACGATTTGTTAATAAGAAAACAGCTCTGATAGGAAACAGTCCCTGCCCAAACCAGAAAAGCCAACCATCTCCAATAGCACTATAGAGATTCCACCCGAATGAGATAAATGTGCGAATTGCTGGTGGCGAAAGCATTTCTACCCCATACTGGCTCCTACTTCAGCTCCAAGTAACCCTTTTTCTGAGCGGATGAAAGAGCATCGAGACATAACTGCACCTAATGTGCATATTCCAGCGAATACTGTACCGTTAGGCGTCTTCCAACATCTGCTCTCGTTGCTTACAATTAGCAAGTATTCTTGTTCCAGTGACATTTCCAAAAGACTCCGGGAAAATTAAGACGACTTGCATAACATTCGGAATTAGAAATATGCCCAGTCCGGCTAGAGAAGATGCGGTATTTTTGTGCCACCCAAGATAAGACACTAACTTGACCTTAACTTTGTTATGGCGCCCCTAGTATCTGGAGAACGTGAACAGACACTGTCTGGCAGCTCTCGTAAAAACTGACTGGAGAAGAGATTCTGAGTCATTTCATTTATTGCCACTACAGTTCTGCAAGAAAGCTTTTCCTCCCTGCCAAACTTTAATTATTTATGCGCTTTTAGGAAACACAAAAGCAGCCAGAGTTTCCTTTCCTTAGCAAACTAGCACAAATGAAAACACCTTTCTTAATTGGTTTATCGGATTTAGATTTCGGTCCCAATGCAAAGATGTTGATGTTGAACAGAATATAAGAATTCATGTGTGTATTGCTGCAATGCATGTATGTTTATGCGCGCATTTGCACGTACACAGATGCACACTCGACCAGAAATGTATAGGTAGCTAATTACGTATAGGAGTATATAAATAGATGAGAATATATTCGTATTTACGTAGTATGTACATATTTATTAATACACACGTGTATGTGTAAACGTATTTAGATACATACGCATGTATATGTTTGTGTATCTATCTGATTACACACTCAACTATGTGTGCGCGTGTGTGTGTACACAGTACATCTTTCTATATGTGTGTATTTGCATGTATGCATATACACACACAACGACCAAAGCTGCTTTACATTTAAGGTTGCAGTTTGTCTACAAAATTGTGTGCCACTCTCTTTGTATTTTGATTATGTAGTTTAGATCCTAATAAGTCTCCCAGTCTTTCTGTTATTTTGTACTTTCATGTCAAGGCAATAAAGAATGCAGAGTCGCAGTAAGTGAGCATCGCAGAGCAATTAAGTTTAATTAATAATGCATTGTTCTTTCCACATTTTTTATCCGATATTCCTCTCAAACTTTAATGTCAGAAAATTAATAAATAAAATGGTTGGCAGTTTGTAATTGTAATAGAGAGAGACTGGGGAAGACAGTATAAACATGTCAAATTTTTCCTAGCCAGTATTGGAAAGGGGGAGGAGTAGAATCAGCAATGTAAGTCCTGTATCTTTTCTCCTGGATTCCTTTCAATAGAATTTCTTCCCATTATTACCGAAGAGCATACTACGGGAAGAAGAGATTTGTATTTGCCAGTTCGCATTAGCTTTACATTACAAAATCTTTAGAAACATAATATCCGGAATTCTCAGAATGTATTGTTTCGCCTGTGGTTGTCAGAGGTGCTCATTGTTTGGAGAGCGAAATCCTCACGCATATTTTTGCCTCCATTGTGAAAAGAGGTAACAGGATCATTTAGAAGACAAAAATATGAATCACCAGTTTGCCAATACTTATTCTGGTCCTCGGGAATATCTCTGGGCCATTGCCCCCTTCCCTGTTCTGTAGCAACCAGCCTAAGGCATTCCGAAATTTGGCACCCCCAAATAGCCAGTATTTATGTCCAAAATGAGCTGTACCGACTGTTTCCTTACAGCTGCCACAGCACATTTTAAAGCTGATGCTTGGATGGGAGCAAAGTTCAAAGGCGTGTTTTTTAAAATTATATTTTTGGCTAGCACTGAAGCTGATTTCAGACAGTCACTAGCATTGTATTTATAGATTGTTCCTTTACGCTGCTCCCTATCAATTTGATTCTTATTTACACGCCCTGAAGAAGCATATTTAAGTCTATCAGAAAAACATAGGTATCCCTCCGTCTCTGTCATATTGAATTATTATTATAAAGGAATGGCAACCCAAGATGCCTCTGCATTAAAAACTGGTTTACGTGGAAAATACATGCAACGGGCATTTTAAGCAGGACCTATAGGTCCCTAGAAATGTTTAAAATATAAAAACCCAGTACGTATATGTAATTTTCATTATATTCGCATCTGGTATGCAGCTCAGTGTGCCGCTCACAAATCAGTTTCACATTTATGGTAAATGGATCAGCCAAAAAAAAAAAAGTAAGAGAAGTGGATATAAATCGATAAAACGTTTAAAAACAATCAGATGAGTTGGAAAATGTATCGAGCTCTTCTCTCTGAAGTCCGAGGTATTTGTAAGTGGGGGTGTTTGCGTTGGACAAAGGCATGGAAGCTTTTGTCCCCTGGAAAAAGACATGCACAGTGATCATTTGATCGTCCAGATGAAATAATTGCAATGGAAATAAATCCCTCCCCTGACTTGGCGAGTTTTCAGTGTTTACCCAGTTTCTTGGCACAGTGTTTGCTGGGGTAGGCGCGGCATTGGAAAGGAATCGCAGATCGGCCTGTATGAACCGCATCTTTAGCGCCTACAAGGGGAGAAGTCGATTTTTTATTTTTTTCTCCCACGAACCAGGCCAAAGGCATTCTGACCGAGTGACTGCAGCGCAGGCTGAGCACAGCGCGGGCCACTAAATACGCGAGTTGCCGCCAACAAATGGCGCGACCTACACGATTTTTAAAAATTCCATGTCCAGCTGGTGCAGCTCGAAACGGAGCAAGCAGCTTTACAGTAGCGCTGCCCGGGAAGGGAGGGGGCGAGTTAAAATAGCTCCTTAACGGTGACATTTCGCTGCTTCCTTTCTTTCAGGAGAGGGCGGACGAACGGGGAGGCTGAGGGAGCTCATGCCACTATCGTTTGCCCTGGGATACTGGCGCATGGACCGAACAGCTCCTTACGAACTTGAGTGGGGGATCGTTATTTGTGCGAGGGCGGTTCAAAAGCAGAAAACGCCTCGCCACTTTCGCGGACACAGACAAACAGTATTGAGGTCCAAAGACGAGTCCCCCTTTCTTTTCCCGGAGCAGGCAGTGAGAGGGGGCGCATCTGAAATCCAGTGCCAAGGGGCAGCGCTTGTACACGCAGCTCTTTGTGGTACACAAGTAAGAAGCTGCGGCAAAAGTCGCTGAGGCCTGCCCGTCGGTTTCCCACCCACAGTTTAAACGCCTGGGTACAAGAGCAAGGGGCTGCAGGAGACCCCTCTACCCTCGGTCGCACATGGGCGCTTGAAGATGCACAAAGGATTTTTACCCCAGGTACTTCAGACATTTTCATACAGTTTGCCGGGGCCTAAGACCGCAGGAGAGAGATTTATTCTCCCCTCCCCCTTAAATAAGGAACAGGGGTTAACGCGCCATTTTCAACACGCAGGAAACGTAGCACGAAGCAGAAAAATCTGGGGCGCACTCTGGAGCCGGGTAGGCAGGTTAAGCCATGCCCTTGGCACAGGTCACGTGCCCCGTTAAAACGCACGGCTCTGGCTTCTCGGATCTCTCTCATTACTTAGAATCATAGGGCTGGACGAGACTTGGTGGATTATTACACATGGGGTTTCTTTGTCATACCCTCTTCCACGTTTAAAAAACAGGTTGCTTCCAACTATAGAGTAAACAAACACTGCATGCTCATTCTGTAATGCAAGATAATACACGAAGGGACTCGCCGGGATTTAAGTATCCAAGATCATTACTAGTCAATGTTCCTTTATTTTTCTGCAAAATTATGTTTACATACAGTTAGAGAAATTGATCTTAGCTCAGCACAGCTCATCCTGCAAGCAAAGAAAAAAGAAGTAGAAGAAGATCTATTATAAAGGGAAATAAAATATAAGAGCTGATAATACAGGTCTTTGTAGCCTTTTCGTGTGTTTACTTTCTTCCTTTTGGCCAAGGATTCAGTATTTGCTAATTTACAAACGCCCCAAAGGTTTGCTTAGAGCTTCTAGAATTTCTTTCAATAATACTAATGAGGTTTTCATCGGGAATACACTCTACTCTAGAGATGCAAAAGACAAGTTCATTATAGGAATGGCAAGACTTTTGTCTAGTACATAGATAGCGCCTGCTCACGCATTACTACTCTTTTCTTTTTCATCCGTCGGTTTTGAAACCAAATTTTAACTTGTTGATCGCTTAAATTCAGTCTGTTTGATAGCTCTTTCCGCTTCTGCCGGTTAATAAACTCATTGAGGAGAAACTCGTTTTCCAATTCCGCAATTTGTTGTTTTGTGTAAGGTTTCCGTTTCTTTCTTAATCTTCCCTGGGCGGGACACCAAGGCATACCTACAACAAACACGTCGATAATTTAATGGATAACACAGCTGCAAAACAGAGAGCATGCAATAAAACCGCATTACATAAATGCAAATTGCTCAAGGTATCTTTTCGTCACGTACATTGACCACCACGAGAATTATCTATCGTGTCGGCTTTACTGATTATCTCCCCACGGATACCCGTGTAATTACAACAATTCTAAGCCTTTTTTTAGAAAATCGGCCTTTTCTAGAGAAAGGGAGTTATTTAAGGCATACCATCCTGCACTGAAGGTCTCAGACATGGCTGGACTGCGGAAGGCTGCACTGTCAGGTTCAAGTTGACCGAATTCTTGATGTCCTCCTTTAAGCTTGAAGTAGAGGAATTCACTTCAAAAAGAGCCGAGGAGCCCTGTAAACCCCTCTGCAGGCTGGAGTGGTCATACTTAGCTGGCTTTAAGTGGGCTGGATGAGTAATACTTGGTTCATTGGCAAAAGAGTGCCTCTGCCTGCCTCTTTCCTCCTGTTTGGAGCCTGCTTCGTGGGCGTAGTATTTATTGTTTTCTTCCAGGCACTCTTTGCTGCTGTTGGAACTGATGTTGATGGGAACGGAGCCCGTAAGGTAAGGCTGCGAGGAGCTGCTGAAAGCAGGGCTCTGAGGCTGAGCCGTACACGAACTTGAGCAAGTCCAGGGCAGCGAGGTTCGGGGGTAGGGAATGGTGGGCAGAGCCGCCAACTGACTGCCATTAGTCCGCAAGTTAGGGAAATAAAAGGAATCCGGCCCTTGCAAATTCAAGAGAGACCCAACGTAGCCCGATCTGTAGAGACTGCGATCGCACATTTCCAACAAAGGACTTCAGCTGTTCGTACCGCGGTATTTAGTTACAACGGGGAATAAGCGGAGAGCCTAAAACGATTGGACGAAATTTTGCATACAGGTTCTTCAGAGCCGGTAATTTCAGCACCGCCTACCCCCACTGAGCCCTCTTTTTTAAAGTATTATAGTAATACTTGAAATATTAAAATCCCTCACTTGCAAGGGGGAGGGGAAAGCGTTGTTCCTCTCCTATAAAAATGAATGGAGTAGGAGTATAGCGCTGCTGTGCACAGGGGAAGAGAGGAGAAAACAAACATTTGCAAAGCCTTAGATAAGGCACTGCAGCTAGAACTGTGGTTTCTCCTTCATGCTTACTTGGCTCGTTCATTATACTGCTTAGGCCTTATTTCTCACCTGTGGTTTCTTCGTTTAGTGTAAAGATGCAAGCTATTTGCTACGCATACGTATGCACATGCCTATATTTGTAGTGCAAACATCATTCTATACATGCGTGCAATTAAAATCCCACTGATGATCGGCTAGGATTGGTATTAGTATGGTAATGACCTGGTCTGACTCTAGCTGTAGATGTATGCCCCTTTCAGATTTCCAGATCTTTTATCTCGTACTTTCCCCCATATACTGATAATGTCAGCAGTGACTGTCTCTGCTCTTTACAATGCATTTAGTAATTTACATTTCCACCACACACACACACGCCTTTAAAAATAAAACGTGTTCCACTCTTTCTCTGAACCCGTTTCCTACCGAGGACCCTGTATTTTAACACTGTAAAACAAAAACATCGGTCAACAAAATGTGTTTATAAAACCTACGATTACTTGTAAAACAACACCCCCCAAAAGCCCAGGCTTTGTTTTATTTATTTTTATTTTCGCAAATCAGGGTTATTCATAAAGGACGGGCGAGGGAGGAAGCGAAGAATTAATTGGGGAACTGGGAGAGAACACGCCCCATCTGAGGGATAAGAGGCGAAGGCAATAATTAGAAAGCGGTGGCGGTGCGTTTTAAATTGTCTGACTGATACGACATAAATTCCCTCCCATATTTCCCCGCCATTAGGAGGTCAGCTCTTGGCACTCGGGGTTTCTTTCGTGTCAAATATGATTTCAAGAATTTCCTCTCTCCCTCATCCCGCTTCTCGCACAGCAGCCAAATGAAACTGTATGTTAGAGAGCGTCCACACTGCGACTCGCAAGTCTTTGGCAAAGGGAGAAAGAATTTGGAGTTGTTGCGTTTTGGGGACCCCTGAAGTGTCAATTCTTAATTCAGCGAGGCCGTGTGGACCGTAACTGAGATCGAAATATTCCACGAAAAATACTGCGATTGGCTTAAGAGATTTGGAACTATCCGATAAAATACACAGAAAAATATGGAAACGGTGAAACGAGGGGCAAATGGTCAGAGGAAAAAGCTTCGGCTCCTTTTAGACATGTTTGAGATCCCTCTTCATCGGGCTGCTTCTTTAGGACAGATTTTCGGAAACCAAAGTATATTTCTAAAAATATTGTCAGCGTCCATTCTTTGAATACATTTCACGCAGAACGTGCACACAAGCTCCCTCAATTGCGAATCTTTCATGTGGATCGCTTCCATAAAGGGATTGCCCCCACGACAGAATTAACCCAGCTTCAAACAGAGACATAAACTAATGACTTCATCGCGTTACATGGGCTTGATTAAAATATCATGGTTAACACTAAAGGTTAAATTTCCCTGTTATTGTCTTGTTAATTATAGTTTTAATCTTGGTTTTATTTCTATGAGGAGATCAGAGGCATGGGCAGTCTTGACATTTTCCTAATGAAATTCGTCTTTCTGTTTAATGGGAATTTTGGATAAATTATACAGTAATTTCATTGCCCAGGAAGAAAATCTTTAAATGATTACTCTCCAGATTATCCTCCTAGACCACACAAGACCACACAAGCTTCGCCGGAGGATATTACTGACCACTGCCCTTAATTTTTATTGTTTGAGTTATGTCTACCAATTGAGTCTCTCTTATTAACTTATTTGTTTTCGTTTTCCAATATGCTAGGAAATAGTTGGGAAAAGTTTAGTTCTCTTCTGCGCTAGCGTTTCATAAAGAAAACTGTAATTGCTTTTCGGCTCTTTAGGAGGAAAAGAATAGGCATTTTGTGTTCAAAAGCGTATATTTTTTCCCCAATAAAAAAAACAAGAATAGATGTGAGCTCAGTTTCCGGAAAGAAAGGTGACACTTCAAACTAGCTTTTATGGCGTTAGAGAAGCCAGGTCTTTTCAGTTTACCTTAAACTCATATATAATTGTAAATTAATAATAAAATAAATATGCAAAGAGAAGGCTTGGCAGCAAGAGAATGCAGGAGAGGAATTTGTAGCTGCAGAAAATAATGGTTACGTTAAACCTGCCCAAACATGATAAAATACCTTGCCATGTAATCCTTATCAAAGTTCTTGCCCAAGGTGGGATGAAAATAGCAGCGACCAGGCATCTTGTGGGAGAGGCCAATCTCTTCAGATGTTCAACTCTATTCTTTAATAGAACCTGGGAATCCCCTATATTTCTTATTTGTACAAGAAATTTATTTGGCCATTACAAAGCTAGATCCGAGACCTTTGCTCTCAAGCGCTTTGGGGTCACTGTTGGATCAAAATAGTGTGACTACTAGATCTGACTACGATTCCACACCCCTTGGTTTTATAGGCAGCGGCTTTCCATGGCAAAAAAAGGTGCGCCGTGTAAACTAATGGCATTATGTTGTCATTTGTACTGTACTGTGGAAATGCAGCACCTGGATGGAGTGAATTGCTTTCCCGGCCTATGCCAGAGATTGTCCAGGAGATGGCAGGATTGCCCTATTCATCGGCGAGCACAGCCCTGCACAACTGCAGGAGTCAAGAGCAGTGGTAAATACAGGGCAGCCAAGTCGCCACGGCATAGTTCAGTTCCGTTTATTAATGTACTCATTAACTGGGTGAAATAAAACTGTACATATATTATATAATAAAATGTATTGTCAGCAGCAACGCCCTAACCTTGCTAATGTATATAATCAGTATGCTCATGAGTCGTGTGAATTAGAACTTTCTCTCCTTCTCACTTTTATTACTCACAATTACTGAGTACATGAATTATATAGTAGCGGATTATGCTACATTTCATGTGTCTAAAATAAATCACCGCACATAAACTGTGGGGTGTCTTAGTTGGGTGCTGGCAGTGATATGAAATGTACACTGTTCAGAGAATGGCTGGGTATATTCTAATTGATCTGATATTCCAAATCAACTGTGCAGAATCCAGTAGTCGATAATGATGAATTTGGCTCTAGCACCAATGCAGCTACCCATGCGTGCTGCCGAAGCATTCTTTAATTTCTCCCACATCACTTCCGTGCTCTTTGGATGCGTATTAACAGACAGTGCCATTTTAAAATAATGCTTTGAAATGGAGATGATAAGGCAATATGTGGCCTTTCTGAATATAACTACAGTTTTCTTTCTATTTCTGCACCTTTTAGGTTACCTGGGACCAACATTAAAATTAGTCTCCTCACATGTGATCGAACGAGTCGCGCGTTCTGACGGGATTCCAATGTCTGGCGTGAATGTTACGTGGAGGAGTCATCTTGGCTAAATCTGCAGCGGGAGTATTCTGATACAAACCGAGAGACAAGGCGGACTTTGCAACAGAAAACAACAGTGCCAGAGAGTTCTGGGCAAAATCAAAATTAAATGTGAGAAATAAAAATGTAGCCAAGGAGTATTTCTTAGTTTAAAAGGGTTTCCAAAATGTTCTACCAGACAGACTGGCTTTGAAATATAGCAAGAAAAGGAATTTTTTACGTTCTAAACAAAGCAGCATTGGTAATCAGAGAAGGTTCAACACTCTTTTGGTTATTTACTCTCTTCCCCATGTACTTCAAGTTAGAGATGTTCCCCCCAAAGTCTCTTATTTTCCTAGGGGTAGAAAATCCAATTTGAGACCTAACTCTTCAGCGGAGGAAGATTATTTTTTCAAGTTAAAAAGGAAGGTGGAGGCGGGGATGGGCTGGCAACGTGTGAGCCAAACACTTCGCAGTACAGGTCAGTTTTATTTTTTTAAAAAATGAGCTGGCTGAAGTCGCAACAAATATCTTTGCTAAAATGCCATCTAAATGGAAGTAAACACGTCTGGAGTATATAAAACACGGCCAGGCTATTTGAAGAAGCAGCTGAAATATCACAGCGGACCCGATATGTGTTTCTGGAAAGCACAATTATGTTTCCCAGAGCAAACTGTAGGCAGAACGCGTCTTTTCACTCACGATACAAAGATCTGGTGTAGCATAGAACCCCGTTTCGGGGCTGCGTACATGCTGTTGTTAAGCATTTGATTTCCTTAAAAAGCCCGAAAAGTAGCCTCTCCATAATGCAGCCTGCGAAACGCCGTGCTGGAAAAATGCAATGCGATTTTCTTCAATTACTTTTATATTGAAAAGAAGTCGTTTTATTAAAGACGTTTTAAGGAGAGCTTGGCAAACTCATTAACGGCTTTGAAGTCGAGCTCAACACAATTCCAAATAAAAGAAAGCATTAAACCAAGAACGGAAACAATATCGGTTGAGGAAGGAGCTCAGTGTATGTCTCACCCACATAAATTAAAAATCAACGTGTTTGGAACAATCGGCTAGTACAATAAATAATAATAGTTCGGAACGCGACACATTTTAATAATTACACGAGACACAGAAATTGAGAGATTTTCTCTTTTCTCTCCTAGCTGTAAACTGACGTGAGTGTCTGACATCTCTGCATAGGTATGCACACCAAGATTCAAACAAAAGCAAAACACAACGGCCAGTCTCTCTGCTCTCTGTAAATTACAGCATCTTTCGAACGCCATAGTTTATTGCTTCTTTCATTAGCACCCGTGTATTTCTGCAACTTAAAGGTATCATCAAGCTTCTCTTCTGGAACAAGAAGGTTTCGAACCACACGATAGGGTGGACGTGGAGAGTCTTTGTGCTTGTTCAGACAAACAGGATAATAGGGCATTCAATACATTATATAAAAAATGTACATACGTTTACACACACCTTTATACAGCATGTCCTCTATATGTAATATGATTAAACATTGGAATTCCATTTAACTGTGTGTTCCTAGTATGCAGCTAACTATCTAGGTATAAACTGATAAAACTTATCTGTTTCGGACTATCTTTACTAATGAACAGCAAATTATAAACCTATAAATTGTACTGTTTGAAGTAATTGCTTGGGATGCACTGGAATACATGCATCTGCGTAGAATATGTTGATAGGCTTTGAATTAGGGAGTATGAAATCATTAATCTGCAAATGACTACAAAGTAAAATCCTAGAAAAATATGTGGAATAATTTAGGGAAACAGTTGAAGTTAAATATGTTTTCCTAGTTCCAATCTGGCTCCAAATGGCACGTTTTCTGAAAAAATAATAACCACGTCCCAGCTGCATAAAAGAAGCTATTTTCACATTAACAACCACTCACTCTATCTGTTGGTGGGCTCACTTTATTTTAAACCGAGAACAGCGTTGTAATGATTTCTTAATCCCCAATTACATTATATTACTTATTTTTTTAAAAAATAATAATTCTGCGTCCTGGTGACATTTATGATACCAAACCACAGCTGACAGTCTTGGCACCCGGCTGTTTAGAGACAATTTTTACAGAAAAGAACCAGATAAGTATTTAAGAAAATTATAATGGTAACTGCTCAGCATACTTAAAGTCGTTTATACTGGCCTAGAGGGAGGAACAGAAGATATTAAAATACAAACAACAAAAAGAGAGAAAGAAACAGAACTACAAAGTCAAGATTTGGCAGCATTCTCCACGGATCAAAGAAAAATGCTGACTTTAGTTAAAAGCAAATCACAAAATCTCGCCTCCGTAGGAAGGGGGTGGGAAATATTAAATATATTTTCAAGTCTTTCCAAAAGTCTTTAGCTGATCGTAAATTGTATTTATATTTCCACCACTGTCCGCAACCAAGAGATCAAGATACGTTGTCCTTCAGCTTTGAGACTATTTTCTTATCCTTCACCCTTCTATTCTGAAACCAAATGGTAACTTGTCTCTCAGACAGGTTTGTGGCTGCGGATATCCTTCGCCTCTTGTCCTTGTTAATGAACTTGTTAATGGCATATTCATTCTCCAGTTCTTTAAGTTGCAGTTTTGTATATGGCACTCGCTTCTTTCTTCCCCGTCTGTAGACACACATATCTGGCTGGTTTAGTGCAACGTCCCCTATTGTAAAAGACATTATGCGAAAAATTAGAATTTTATTACAGGCGTTTAAATCTTAACTGATACTCTCTGGGCACGGGTTTTCATGGGCAAATAAATAATGCTAGGCTGTTTACAGCTTATTATTATTTACACATCCACATTAGTTACACGCTATTAAAGCACGAAGATCTTGATGGTCTGTCATCGCTTCCCAAGCCTGCATCATAGCAAGCCTGCAAAGTTTCGCCATACATTTGCTGGGGGATGGGTGTGTGGGTGTGTGTGTGTGGGGGGGGGGAATTGTGTGAAATTACATGTGTGTAAAGTACACAGAGAACTTTGTTTAGTGCGTGTTTCCCTGTTCCTGCCTGCCTGCGGTTTTGTGCATGTGCACGCTCCCCGCATGCAGTTTCTTAAGCACTCTAGAGCGAGTAATAAGGGCGAGCCTGAAAAACAGAAACAAGCATTCCAGACATCAATTTGCATCTTCCCAAAATACCAGGGGCAACACAAATCCAATCATTAGAACAAATGTAAAACTAGCCATCAGGCTAGGCTAGCTGGGAAGGGGAAGTTTCAGGGCTCTGGGATCGACCACACAGGGTGGAAACCCAGAGGGTGACACTCTTCCAAACCATTTTCCCCTACCCCGGGAGGCTGTGTGCGCCGAGTAACCAGGTCGCCAGGCCGGGCCGTGTAACCCGCGGTGGGAATAAAACAGACCATTGCTCTCCCGCTCGTACCTGGAAAGGACGATTTCCAAAAATGGGAGCTCTGGGACTGGTCTTTCGCACAGTAAACCTGGCTGTTCCAGCCATTCGCCAGAGTCCAAGACTGATAGCCCTCCATGGATATGTATGTCTCGTGCCTCGGCTCCCCGGAGCCGAACGTGGAGACCATGTCTATGTACCCGGGGACGTGCTGGTACGGGTTGGTGTAGCCCTGGTAAAAGGACACTTCCTTGGCCCGCGAGGAGCCTTCATTGGCGGGCACGCTGGTGCTGGCCAAGCTGGAGACGTCCATGTACTTTTCCACCGGGAAGCCGCCAATGGAGGCATGGGGGGAAGACTTGAGGGCGTTCTGCTGGATCCCGACGCCGTGGGACATCCGACAGCTGTAATATCCATTGCCGAAGTGGTAGCCGTAACCCAGCGCCGGGGCGGCCGGCGGGGCGCCGGAGCCTGGGCACTCCTTGGAAGGCGGCTCCGAGCGCGCCGCGGAACCCGCGCGCTCCGGGGGCCCCGCGTAAGCGAAGCCCGAGGCGGCTGCCGAGCGGCCGGAGTGAGCGGCGCCGAACACGGGCGACGAGAGGAAATTGCGGCACTGGCTGGGGGCGCCGCCGCCTTCGCCTCTTAATCCTTCCATCTCCCAGCTCGCGGCTTTGCTCATGGCCTTGCACATCGCGGGCTGCGGCGGGGTCCCGGGCTGGGCATGGCGCAAATTGTTATTGCCTCCAACAGGTTAGATCATTGCGGTACGTTTATAAAAACTAACTTCAGGTTGGGAGGGGGAAAAGGGGTGGGGGCGGCCTGCTCCAGATTAGTTTGCTGGAGTCCGGGGGCGCCTCATAGGCTGCCGAGGAGCATGTGATCCTCCGGGCGCATGAAATAGTTCTGAGCGCTCAGCCCTGGCCCGGGACCGGCGTGTCCCCTCGCCTCACTCGCTCATATGTGTGCACTTCGGTCCACGGGCGTTTACTCTGAAACACGCTGGTTGCGCTACTGCGAGAGGGAGTTTTAGGGTCCCTTTTTTCTGGCTTAAAACAGCCGCTCCAGCGGCGCTTTTATCTCCCGCCTCCGATCACTTCAACAGGCTTAAAATAAAGGAAGGAAGAAAACAAACAAGCGCTCCAACTTTTTGCCCGCATTGGTTAACCCTTCCGTTCCTCAGCACAAAGCGCGAGTAAACGCAGCCCAGAGAAGGAAGTAGAGCTAATGTGCAGGAAGGGGGAGGGGAGGGACGGATTGTCATGGTCTCGGTGTTCACTACAGTTCACACTTGAGATTTGTCTCTTATTTCACTCTCGATTCGTATGGTTATTTAAATTCCGGCTAAGAGGCTCACGAAGTTTTTAATTGCTAGCAGCCAAATTGTCCTGTATTTGAACGGTTACTGGTAAATGTACGTAATGGGGGTTTATTTAAATAACAATATAGTTAGAAGTAAACATTCCTTTCCTAAATACACTGATTGACATTTTCGAATGATTAATGATCGCTACAGGGAAAGCATGCAGTATCTTTCTACTATCTTAGGAAGATATACAAGATTTTGTTGCATGGTCATGCTATATTGTCATTTGTAATCTAGATAGAGATACGCAATTTACTATGTGCGTTAAAAGTATATAGAAACTACAGTGCTGTTTAGGTTATTTCTGAAAAGTAAAGCACAACATACACGTATATAGATACGTGTATGTAAGATCACAGTCACACAAACACACGCACACAGAAATGGCATATCTTATATCACTGCTGATAGCCATTAAAATCCACTGTGTGCACTGCACAAGATAGCCATTAAAAGCCAGTGTCTGTACTGCACAAGATGTTAAACCTGGGATTCATTACACATGGCTTTTTTCTTGAAGTGTCAGTTAATCTAGTGGTGAAACTGACAAGGTAAAATGCCGCGTTTGCTTATTATTATTATTATCATGGTTCTAGGATTAACGTTCCAAGTCTATGACAAATAATTATATTGCCTAATCGACACTCGTGTCGTGTCGGTTTTGAACTTTCAGTAGTGCAAAGATTCTATAATGTAGCATGTTCTATAAACGTATATAAGTCTTCTTGGATTGGCTTCCTTTAGCGTTCTTGCTCTGGGTTTTCTTGTTGCAAACACTTAATACGCTCAGTTGTACATCAAATGCAACAAGTTACTACAGGGAAGCTTCTCCAAAGTAAAAGGAAGAGGTTTTTTATAACTTAACATGACCATAGAAGTGGTTTGTATGCGCACATCCCCACACAGTGGAAGACCCGAAGGAAAAGGATAGATTATAGAAGGCGAAATTAATATTTCGCATGATTTTGATTTGAAATGTAATTTGCATTGATAACAACATCCAAGGATCATAAGGCCTGTTAGGGTATTTTATGCAGAAAGGGACAAAGCTATGACTCTTTATTTCACACTGGCTTAAACGAGTTGAATGAGAAAACGAACCACTTCGCAGTACTCGCAGGTTTTTTAGCTTTGTAGCACGCCTAATAATATTTGGCAGTTCTGGAAGTGGGGTGAGGAATGACAAACTGGTGCCAATAATCACAGTAACAACCGCCTGGCAAACACAAGTTCGTGTTCATTAGCTTCAACCACTTAATTACTATTAATCTTTCATAATCAGGTAAGAAGTCAAATAAATAAACCAGACAGGGCTACGTATTTCATTCAATTATAAGCCGACTCAGTATTTGTTCCCAAGATATAAAAAGGTACCTAATTAAGGAAGTGGTTCGTAAGAATACAAGTAAAGACTCATTCCTTTATTTAACTGAATTCAACTTTCTCATGGATTTTTAGACTAAAATACACAATATTCTGAGATCTTTAAGGTCGAAAACGTGTATTGCACTGGCCAAGCCCAATTTTCTTTTTCTACCTCCTATTCTAGTTCTTCTATCCCATAAGTGTATAGCAATCATCTTTCCTGTCACAAAATATACAGAATGTGTTTAATAACATCAAAAGAAGCAAAGTGAAAAGTTCCTTGTCTGTTTAGTCCTCTTTCGTAAAAGCAAATAATTGGTAATTATGCTTTCGCGAGAAATGACACTCAATACAACTTTCGCTTCAGTGGGTGTTTCTAGATTCCATGCCCAGTTGAGACTTTGTGTCTGAACAGTGGTTTGGGATCAATAATTTAAACTCGGTAATATGTCATTTTGTGAGGAGTGTAAAAACACAGCATCGCCTTACTCTCACGCTTTGCACGACAGGATATTATGAATGTGAATAAAAATAATGAGCTCATAAGTCAAAGTCTCTCTCTGTTTGAAAATTCACACCCAGTTTACATGAGTTAAGATTTGTGCTTTAACTGTTTGGTGCACTTACAGGCAAAATAAGAATCTAAAATAGCTAATGCTTGCTTCTGTGTACTATAATATTTTTAATAATAAAGTATTCTAAAACAATTCCTTATCTACTTCAATTATTGTGAAAAATGTACTTAAAGGCGGTCGCAACTGACAACTTTGAAACTTGTTAGTAGATCCTAATAATGGAGGTTTTCTTTTGCTACAGAACGTTACAGGATAATTTCCCTCCGCCTTGGCGTATAGTAAACGTGTGCATACTTGACAACGTATCTGTACTAAATTTTCCATTGAGAAATAATTCGGGCATCATCGTAATAAGTGAGCGAGCGACTTATCTGCAAACACAGCAGGCAGGAAAGGTACTGAGCTCTTCCCGTACGGAGCTATACGGCATATTAAGATTTAGATATGATCTCATTTCCTCAAAAATCTTCGGAACAATCTCCTAGAGTTAGTAATCAAATCTTTGTCTTTATTCAGCATATGGACTGAGCAATTGCGATGCTTGTCTCTTTCACCACTCTTATCTCTCTGCCCAACAAACACACCCTCACCCTTCCGCCACCCTTCTTCATTTACCTCCTTTCCAGCCTGCCAACTGATCTGGCTTTGGGGATGTAGTCCTCTTCTTAGCTATATTTTAACTCTGTTTCTTTATTTCCATTGCCCTTGTGAAAACAAACCCATACCAAACAAACCAAGGAACTTTGCACTTTTTGGTCCAGCCTAAATACCTCACGCACATAATGAAGAAAACAATAGAAGAGCAATAGCTCAGCTACTACTTTCTCCCATCCACCCTGGGGTTCATTGTTTAATTTTAACTAATTTGTGTTTGTAGAGGACAACATAGTTTATTTTCTACTTTTCCATTTCTTACTTAGTTGAAATTGAAACATTTTCGATAAAGAAAAAGCTCCATTGCCATGTCAGGATATTTGTTAAAATATGCTTTCCAAAGCTGTCTTATGCTAGGCACAGAACTTTATTTAGGAGGTCAATTCACTTAAACATTTGAAAGATACATTTGCATAGACTTATAGAAATGTAGATCCGGAAAGGACTTCGAGAGGTCACCGAGACCAGTCTTCTGATTTTTGAACATTGTAAAGTATCACTGCCCGGTGGCTGCCACATACTCCAAACAGCCTCTTAGGCAAACGTGAGTGTTTAACATGTTTCCACCCATATACTGGTATAAAATCTTTCGTAAGTCCCAGGCCAGTATTTAGAAGCATCTCTCGAGGTGACGTTACATACCAGTCACTGCAGGGAACTCAGATCACAGATGAACCATTCGGTTTAAACCGAAATAACTTTTTACCCAACAGAAAATATTATCATCTGAATTTACCAACATACTTCCCCTTTGTAGCGCTAGCCACAAAAAAACACACAACTTTGTAATCTATAGCGCTCAACGCTTTCACTGAGTTGTAAACAAGTAAAAAAGCACAAGTAATTAGACAGCTATGTTGGAATACTACTCACTAATAATTCTCCACCTCTCATTGGCAAATTGAATACATGTAAGTACATTATTATAAATACAGTAGGTGTATTTATGGGTACATGTAATTTTTCTTTATATAAAGGAGAATATGGGGTCATAGAAAGCACGGATGTTTCCAGTAAAACTCTAAACATCTCCTGGACCAGCAGCAAATCTTCAGCAACAATCTCAGATGGCTTCCAGTTTTTGCAGTGTCTGAGGTGTAAGCAGTGAAAGAGAGACGTTCTCTCATGTTGCACTAGTCAGCATATCCCTTTCTGTCTCACGATGCAGGAACCCAGCTCCGTCACTAGATGGCCCTACGCGTTTTTCTGTAAAGGCTCGGAATGCAGATTGATGTCGGTTGGAACTGTATTGTTTCCTTGTACAACAGCATTGAACCTTCTGGCTTGCAAGGCAGACATGTCCGAGTTTAAAGGTTTGGTTTTTATTTTACTACAAAGGAAGAAAGAAGGTTCCCACAGAAAGCGAACTGTTGTCATAGAACAATCTTTCGGGTATAATTGCTTTAGGGCAATAAATCTCAGCTTGTTTCTTTCCTTCATAAAACGAGCCTTTCTGTAATTCGCTGTAGCTCTAACAAGTAAGTAAAGCACACGTAGGCCCCTCGTTTCATTTTGTGAGTAGTCAAGGGTATGGCGACATTGTTACATCTCATCAGACCATAATGCACTTGCACACGAAAAGTCTCTTCTTCCCCCTCCCATCACTTGTAATAATAATTGGACAAAGCTCATTGATCGCTATCTATTTGAGAGTCTGAGTGCTCCTATGGAAACCCGAGTGAAATCAGCTGCAACACAGGATCTTTAGTTATTTAAGAGACAATATAGAGGTATGCAACCAGAAATTTGTCGCCGTCTCACAGCTGAATTAGCGCATTTACAAGTTATATGTTACCTGCAGTAACCTTACAATGCTTTACAGCGCTTTACAGTTTACCTCTGAACACTCAAAGTTAAGAATGAAACATACATTTAGCCAGTGTTTCCCCAAAACACCACAAAACTAGCTAAAAAGTGGATAAGATTTTGATCGATGTAATGAACATTTCATTGCATTGAAGCCAACTGCGATATTTTTCAATTAAGATTTAACAGAGTTGATCAAAATATTATTTGATGCCATAAGTAGCAACTTTCAAGATAAATAAAATCGTTTGACTGTAGGCCTCCGCGGCTATTTAAAACTTATAAGAACAATTGAATAAACAAAGTCTAGCAAAACATATTTTCTCTCTCTTTCTATCACTTCTTTTACATGTATCTGCTGATGTAACCTTTTAAAATATGCGTTGAAAGATTTTAGACTGAACTCATTTAAAAAAACTATAAACATTGATAAAATATATCAATCTAGTTTTCTGAGAATTTAAATATCAAATTACTAGTTGATTAGTGGATATCCATTGTGGGAAGAATAATGAATTGTATTGTACTGATCGTTTTTATTGCTTAATATTTATTTAACAGAGGATTATCACCGTCGTTATGGCATGTAATTTGCCTATCATGAGAATGCACCTACATTTTGAAACACGTTATTCATAAACTGAAGTATTATTATTTAAAAGGTGCACAATGTAACACAACACTAATTAATGTGATGTACAATCTGCATCGGCTATATTAGAACATATTTTTTTCACACTGGAAGCTTTCTTGAAGCCTATTCCTTCTGCAATATATCATAAAACAATTATTTTCTTTTTAGTGGTTCAGTAACGTTTCTGGAATATAAAGCTCTATCGGATTTGGAGTGCTCAGATCTGAGTATGTTGCAGATGTAGTGTCTAGTTGTGGTTTTCAAAAACGTGGGGAAAAGATACTAACCCAGTTAAAGTATTTAAGAAAACAGACGGGGGCGCCAAACGACAGCAATAAAGCTACCCACAGACTTCCGTTTCCCTTCCCATAACTGGTAAAGCACTACTCAATCTGGACGAAATAGGCTTTCAGTTCTACAATTAGGAAGGGTATTTTGTATAATAATTATTTCAATTGGTAAAACATAAGTTTGTATTTAACTGGGCCCAGAACCTTTTGCGATGGAAAATTTGGTTGCAGTCTGGGTTACCCATATAAAGTCAATAATAAAGAAGTTTTGTGAATTCAAGTTAGGCAGTGTTTACACTACAGTACCTACAAACAGAGCCCACTATGTACATCAAATCACTCTTCTGATCAGAATTGGTTAATCTCAGGGAATTGCTGTCCTTATAACGTTTTAATAACAGGATAGTCTATGGAGACTCTGTCAGACAACTGTATCTTATTTCAGTAAACATCGGTGTAGGAGGCTGTGCGCTCTCTACTGATAAAACAGAAGCCATCGCTTTGTCGTCACTTGTACTGGGGTAAGAAAGGCAGACACATCACCATCTCTTCTGGGTGTATTATTTTTGGAGAAATAAGAGTTTCGGAAAACGTGTGCGTGGATTGTGTTGGCAATATGCAGGGCTTTGGCACGTTTACATTCCCAATATTACTATGTTTTTTGTGTCTAAATTACACTGCTCAAAGCTGCCTGTGATTAGCGAAAAAGATATTTACTTCTGTCTGGTTTGGGGACACCAAACTGCAAGCTAAGTTCACATTTCACAGAGCTGACATAGGCCTCTCATTAATAGAAGGCTGGATTTTATAAACAATGCCAAAGATGTTTCCTAAATATTTCATGGAATGTTTAGGGAGACTTTTAATATGTCCTTTAAAAACCGACAAGAATCATAGGCAAAAGCATAAGAATTAGGAGATGCATGTGACTTTAACAATACAAGGAAGGGCTTCTTTTGGCACACACACACACACACAAAAACCCAGGTAATCACAGGAAATGTTGGAGTATTTCTATACCTGATGAAACTCAGGGTCTAAAACTTTATTGTGCGGGTAAAAAAGAAATCTCTCAGAAAGCAGAGATTAGGTAGCTATTGAAGAGAGCACCAGAGATGCTAATGACGAAGGATTTATCTTCATTTAAATGGTTGCCATCAGCGTCATTATTACTACCAAAGTTATCACTGAGGAGAGACTTTCCGATAGTCACGTCTACTAAGCTGGGTAGCCCGTGTCCCTTACAGCACAAGATATTTTACTCCAGATCAACCCGGATAACAACGGAGAGCGTGGAGCCTGGGGTAAGGAAAGAATGTTCTGGAGAACTATGGCTTTACTCATATTTGATGTCCTTGAAACACTAAACTCAAGTAATTGTACATGTAGATATCTTGTTTTAAAAATGCTTCGCTTTTCGTGGGGAAGGTGTGAAAAGAAACCTGTCTAGAGAGCGAAATGACAGTGCTGCAGTTTTAAATCGCGGTTGCATTTAACGTTATTTGGATATTTTTTTCCATCAAATTGTACAACAGAAACTATTTTCCCAAGAGGGAAAAAATCGTAGACTAGCTTCGATAAAAACCAGGATTATAGAAAGTAAAAAAGACACCATATTTAAGGATGCAACGAGGAAAATATACTAAATAACCCCCCCAGGATTACAATAAATCCACGTGAAGATTGCTGTGGTAGACGCACTAGAACTGGTTGGTACCAGGAGCAATAGTTTTTAAAAGTCTCAGTATACGGTTTGTGTGTATGGGGATGGTTGGGTGTGTGCTAGTAAAATTCTTAAATAAAAGTACTAGTGCGTTCTTAATCGTAAAGAAAAGTAAATAAAATACTGCGAGAGGGTATTTTTCCTCTTCCAATGTTTTCTCCAGTTGTGATAAAAAATCCGTTCTTAGATATAAAAAAGCATTATCTATTATTTACCATGTAGTTCTGTCCGAGGACAAATGAGAAAGAAGCTGCATCATTAGGACCTAAAAGGCAACAAAACAAAAATCAGAGCATAATGATGCACCTAAATGAAGGGGGAAATGTTGCACAGCTCATTTTATTAATCAGACTGTCAATTTCACCCCCAGAGGCCAAACCCCAGAGCAATTCAAGCAAGATCTGATCACGCTAAGGACAAGAGCTTTACTCTTCACTTCTTGTCTTTCTTTCTTCCTACCTGGATATATTTATCTGCTCAGAAGCCGCCTTCATTATCCACTGACAGAAGCTTGTGTTTATTTGCTTATAAACCTGTTACAATAAATGATTATTCGAACAGCGTCATTCCTACCTTAATGACGAGCACCACTTTTTGATGAATGACATTTCGGGCTAGAAAGGATGTATGGGTCATTTTGACCAGTCATTCCCTCGCTTTGGCATCCCACAATTTTTACGCCTCCCTCAAAAAGAGATAATAATATTTAGAGACACTTGCCGGGCTGAATGTGAATTAGCCCCTGCTGCAGCTCATCATTAGGACAGGACCAGCCCTGCAACTTTGACATTTTTTATAAAGCTGAGATGATGGAAAGAATAAGAAAAGAGATGATTCTGATGGAAAGAGGGCTGCACAGCCCTACAGCTGGCAAAAGGCTCTCGAATTTGTCAGACTCAGCTGGAAATGCAGTGCTCGAGGCCCTTGAAAATTCTCAACACACTGGTCGCCTCAGCCCTAGACTAACTTCCGCCTCTCTGCACAGCACTATAGGGGACATCCCTGCCAAAGGCAAATTTGAAATAGACACTTTATTCAATCTTCAGCATCAGAGCAGCGAAAGCAGCGTCTCCTCAGAAATTCCGCCGTCGGAGAGCAGGAAGAAAATTAGCCATTATTCAGAAGTTGCTCAAGAGGCAGATATGAACAGTGATGTGGAGGTGGGCTGCTCAGCGCTCCGCTCCCCAACTAGCCTGAGTTCCTCCCAGCTGAAGGAAAACAATAACAAAGGTAAATATTCTTGTATCCTCTCGGTCTAAGCGGTACTGTTATCTGCTGGAACTTGGTAGCGTATGGAAATCGCCTGCTTTATTGTGCACAACCACTGCTAAGACGGTGCTAAATGACTCTGAATGTGTTAGCACGATAGAAAAAAAATACACAAAGCAGGGCTTATATAGCAAAGTGTCTCTCTATGGTCATGGGAATCTCTCTCTTTCTCTCATATATACACAACTATGTCTATGTGCATTTATGCCGTTTCTCTCGTTCTGTAGCTGTCTTTATTTCTCCATCTATACACATATAAATACATGAAGTTAATTGAGTATATGGACATGTAGAAACTATGTATCTGTATATGTGTGTGTTTGTCTTTCTTTGTGCATATAAAACGTGTCTTTGTGTATTCACACTTATAACTGGCCATTGTTTACTTTCACTCTCTACTCACGCTATTTATATCCCCCCACCGTACCAGGTTTGAAATAAATTCGGTGAATTATTTTCATTGGGGATTGTAATAAGAGAATAATCAATGGGGTTCTTTGGGACAACAGCATATGCATTTTTTGTCAAATGTGTTAAAGGAAAGCAATCTGCAGCACAACGCAAGGCATAGGCTTTGTTTATGGCTGCCCTTATTTTGTGCCTCCCCAACGAAAATAAAAAACCTTCATGTAGCTGTTAAAAACTGATTCACAGATTAGAGCCCAGCGCAGCCTGAGAGCCGTACCACATCTCTTAAAAATTGTGCTCTGCATCTGTGCTCGTGCTTGGCTAATTTGCTGCAGAAGCGAGAATTCTATAATTACTAAAAATGCCTAAATTACTTAGAATAATTTGGTTATGAAGTGATTTAAAAAAACTTTATTGATTCTATTAACAGCAGCAATTTGTAACGCTGACAGCTAGCATTAATTATCAGAGTTCACAGCCAGCTTGGTAACGTTACCTCCCGCTTTATTTAATACACACATACCCATCGAGAGGAACAAATCTTTATTTCACTATTTGCTTGCTTGTTTGCCAGGCTATTCAGAAAGCAGCTCAGCTCCTACCACCACCACTTCCTCCTCAGGGTCGAGCTTAACCAGCCTGCACAGCAGCAACGCACTGGGCAGCTCCGGCTCTGGGGCTGATCAGGTGAGAAGGTACCGCACCGCCTTCACCAGGGAGCAGATAGCCCGGCTAGAGAAGGAGTTCTACCGGGAGAACTATGTGTCTCGGCCCAGGAGGTGCGAACTGGCCGCAGCGCTGAATCTCCCTGAGACCACCATCAAGGTATCTCAGCTGAAGCGCTACAAACGCGGGGCTAGGACACTTGATGTGGATTTTGGTGCTTTTGTGCTGTCTGGGAGCTTAAAATGTGCGATCGAGCTCAATTCCTGGCAAAATAGATGCTTCTCACTGACAGAAAATTACAAGTGGCGTATGCCCTCATTCTTTATGGCAAAAGAATAAATCCAATGCTAACGTAACAATTGAACATAAAAATAGATAGTGTTGCCTACGTCCCACAAGGTTTCTTAGCTATTTTTATCTTTGGTTAAAGAACATCCGGTCTTTTCTTTCCTGTTGGGTTTGTTTGTTTCTCTGGGTTGAAACTTTTTTTTTTAATTTGCTTTTTAATTTTCCTTGTCAATTTTTATTGCATTTGCACTTTTTTTAAAAAAAGGGGGGGGGGGGAAACAAACGATGATATTAAAAATGAAACAGAGGAAGTCAGGGCAATAACATACTGTTTCCCACATTGCGGACAAAAGCACTTGAAGGACAAATGTTGTATTATTTAAAATGGCTTTAGAGTTTGATTGGCACAAAGCAGAATCATTTCAGTGATTTATTTGGGTGAAATCTCTGTTGATTGGATTATTTTAAATAATGTGGTTAATTATAGGATATTAAAAAGAGGCAGTGGAGGACCAGAAATCTGGAGACGAGAAAATAAGCTGCTGCGTTGCAGAAGGCGAATCTTAGGCGCTCTAGTTCAGGCTTCAGAAAGATTTGTATTTTGGGGATGTTCATTTTCTTCCTGTTGTTTTAGAAAATAATATCCAGAAAGGATGTTACAGCGGAAGGGAGGTGCAAACCCCTCTTGTTACAGGGCAGAAGCCAGGCTGCAACGTTTGCACCTCGGGATGTCATTTGCATGGCTGCTTTTAAAAACAAACGCAAACATTTTGCCGTGTGCAAACAACGTGCAATTACCAAAGAGCAAACAACAAAAAAAGGCTTCCCAATAAAAGCAGTTGGGTTCCTTCAAAGGAGCCACTTTCCTTTTTAACGCCGGACAGTCTCGGATGTCAGCGGGTTTGGTGCCGGCTCGAAGGGGAGGGGAGAGGTTTTTTAGGTAGCAGAACAGGACTCTACTTAATCAACAACCCCAGCAAGGCTGGGCAAGGGGAGTGGGCTCCGGAGGTGCCGCCGGCTGCCCCCGTGCGGAGGCGGGGGGGGGCGTTTTG